GTGGGTGGGTAGGTAGGTATGGGGGGATTCTGCCGTACCGCGCCCGCGGCATTCCTCTTTATAACTCTGATCTCTGTATTGCTTAACCTGCGCCTGCAGCCACAGCTCACAATCTGGGGTTTTTTAAGTTTTTCCTTGGCTTTACAGTGGCTCAGTCCCCATTGAGACGATAGCAGAGTGAAGGAGGGTACAGTGCAAAGTGGTGTCTGTGTGTGATCGAGGAGGACCGGACCACGGTACACTTACAGTACAGGACACAAGTCACAGGTGAGCTGAAAGGCTGCAGGCCAGCTCAGGTCAAGTGCTAGTTAGGAAGGTGGTGAGTTGTGTTTCCAAAATAAAAACAACACAAATGTATTTACAGGTAACAATATCAAACTTAGCAGCAACCCTATAGGAGAAGCAAGTCATGAGTACACAACACAGTACATTTGTTGTTCTAGGGAGAAAAAGCTCTTTAGCTGTATAAAATAATGAATATTAGAGAAATAGAGATATTAACAGATAAAGGTGAAGTCAGAGATAGTTAACTGTGTCAAAACAGGAAACAGGAAATGTAATGGTCCATCATAATGATCCCAGAGCAGAAGCTTCTCAAAACAAGGCTTGTTAAAGAGAAGGTAAGGTGGAGGGGGGGGGGGGGGGGTAAAGAAAACCTGTACAGGACAAACTGTCTGTGAATTAAACAAACGTGATTAACATTTCTACACATCAAATGTGAGTGAAAATGTCAGAGAGACAGACAGGCCTGGTGCCCTGTCGCTGGCGTCGAGCTGAAGCTTACTCAGCTCAACACTTTAAGGCTGACCTCGACCTTTTGGTTACAGAAGAGCCTTGTTAGTTCTACTGCTCCTGTCCGTAAACAGCGTCTGCGACTGAGAGGGGGAGATTTGGAAAGAGCAGAGTGGCAGCGCACAGACAGAAGGCTGGGGAGGGGGGACCGAATCAGTCCGAGTAGGTAAAGGAGCGCGCTCAGACTACACTTCTCATCCTATTAGTAGCGAGCCACTGGCTGCTCCCGGTCTGTGCGAGTCGGGGTCACTGGGCTTTAGCTGCCCCTCTCATTCACAATACATTATTACTGTAGTGTAAACAAACCCTCTCTCTTAATGACGCCTGGGGAGGTGGGGCAGACAGCGGTCTACCTTTACTCTCTAAAAACGCAAAAGGAAAGACAGAAGCAAAGGGGTCTGTGTTAACTTTAAAGACGGTTCCTCTAAAAGCTGATAGTCTGAACAGAAGTCAAACTGAAGGCTGGATAAGCCCACACATAAAACAATATGTTACGCTTTTAAAAGGGCTGTCTGTTATAGGTATTTGGAAAAAAACTCTTAAATCTGTGATGTACAGAGACGATGAATGTATAACAGAAATGTCATCTTTAAAAAAAAAAAAAAAAGAGAGATAGCTCTTTATTACAGACAACAGAGATCTTACAAATATGAAAGCAAAAAAATCAAGCCGGTCCAATGTTACGGTGATGAATGAAGTCAGTCCATTTTTGTAACCCTGCCATGGCAAAACTCTCACTGGGAGGTTAGGTAATCCTTTCCAGACGCTCGAATTAACGGTGGCAATATTCATGTTCCACCTTTAAATATGAAACAGACAACTGTCATCCTTAAAACCAAACTGCAGCTTCAGTTCCAGCAAGACCCCTGCTGTTTAAAACCCACATTTCCATCTAGCTCCTCGGTGCAAAACCCGTTAAATGGCTCCAAAAATATATATTAAATATATATGTATATATATATGTGTGTGTGTATATATCTACTGTGAAGCCACCATCTGAATTTCCTTTATTGTGATTCGTCTGCAGCGTTGTTCCTGCGTAACAAGTGCACTTTAGTTCCTGCAGTTTCTCATCTCACACATTTGAAATTCTCAGAAAAGAATATGAATAGTTATATTAATATTAATTGGAAATTATGCAACGCTGACTTTTTGCTGCCACATCTCAGGAGACAAACCTACAGCTGCTGAATCGAGAGACTCACACTGGCAGGGCCCCTCTTGTTCTACATACGATGTTTGTTGTGTGCAGACAAACACTTTCCCATTAAATGCAGTATTTCTGCAGGACGGCCACTTCCAGGCTCTGCGACCCCCTCCCCCCCTCCCCCCGCAGTGAAACTTGTACCATGGCTGGATTACGTTCTGAGAAGTAAATTAAGAACGGGTGGGAGGCCCCTGCACCTCCACCATGTCCCGTAGAAAGGCACCAGTCAGAGCAGGTGACTGGGAGGGAGATGGGGACAGGGGGGTAAGGGGGTGTGGGGGT